GATGTTTTGCTCCCTAATGGGATTAGAGCAGGTACCCTGGGGATGCTTAGTAACTCCTCGTTTAATCTTAGTAACTGCTGCCTGCGCAGTCAGCGGAAAGCTTAATGTGGATGCTGCCACGGTTTGCTGCTCCCCGAGGGAGCCTGTAAGGCACCGTGAAGTATAAAACGCGGCAAGTGCCAACGGGAGCAAATGAGGCCTCGCGGGAAAAGTTGCTTTTCTGAAGTTGCAACTACGGGCTGCATTGGGCTTCTTCCCGTGCTTGTGGTGACCCCGGCCTCTCCGTCACAGTTCCCAGAGCATGTATTTTGGGGAGAGAAAGGTGCTTTTCTGGCGCTGGCTACTGGGGAGAGCTGGACGAACCCCCGGACGCTTCTCTGGCGCTGGTGGAAATGCCCTGGGTGGTCGGGATGTGGGTGTGACCAGCTCTGAGGGGTGCTGGTCTTTCTGGAAAGAGGGGGAAAACTGGATAACCTGGTACAATTCAAATGCAAGCAGTTGAAAACTAAGGTAGCACAGAAGTAACTTCTGATGCGTTGTTGCTTAGTAGGTAAAGGGTGTGACGTCCCAGGAAAAACACCCAGGTGGATTGTTTCATGTCACAATGTGAATATGCCCAGTAGGTCAGACAAGACTAGAGAAAATCAACACTTGTGTATTGGCCACTGTTATGGATAACTCCCCTGTCTAATTTTTTTTTTTTTTAAAACAGGTGCACTGATTATAATCAAAATTTGACATACGATGTAGTTTTGCCAAGTCCCCCAGATCTTTACAAGCCATATAAACTTTGGTGCCCTGCAACTAAGTCACGGGAAGACTTTTTGGTATGGTTGAAAAATGTCACTATAACGTGACATCTAGTGGTGGTCACCCATCAAGTGATATCTATTATAGATAGAAACATTAAAAACTAATAATGCTAAAAGAGTTAAAAGTTGGAGAGACTGTAGAAGGAAATCAACAGAACTGTTGCGTTTTGATCATACTTTTATTGTTGTTGCTCTTGTTAGTTCTGTTTCCAGATAAGTTGTCAACTAGATAATTGTGTCTTAAGGACTAACTCCATCCAATCAAAAATAATTCCAAATACCACCTGTGCCCTCACTTAATCTCTGCTCTTTCTCACTAGCTCTTTCAGAAACCTCACCTTTTTTGGTTTTGTTTTTGCAAGATTTGAGCAAAGGAGAGTTAGAAGCAGAGGCTCTGTCTCAAGTACTTTTTCTTTTACTTTGCATTTTCCAGACTCTAATAGTTTTTACATTACTTCTATTTATGGCCTGGTTACATGTAGATAAGAACACGGTCTCTGATATCTGCTAATTTCAATGCAGTCAGGAACGTAATCACAAGTAATGTATAAAGCTACGTGGTCCTGAACTGTTGCCTGTCTGAGAGTTTTCAGAGTGCGATTTGGAATTTATTGTAGGGATTTGGCACGTGGATTAGGGGAACCAACAGAATATCTCTGGTGTGGTTGAATGGAGTAGGACTGTGTTGGCGGTCAGCAAGAGTCTGGTCAGCACAACGCTTTAGCTCTTTAGGTTTTGTCTGCTTTCTCTGTAAAAAGCAATGGTTTATAAGTAAGTAGCAAGAGAAAGGCAATGACTTTTCATTTCAAATCTATTAAACCCTGAGTCATCTTTTCCTAGCTCTATGCAGTGGGTTTTGGATTAGTCCCTTTACCAATGCTTATCAAACTTGCTAACAAGTAGTTTATTCGACTCGTTATTTCTGCTGCCTTTTAAAGCCTTGTAGAAATACCAACACTAATTATAAACTACACTTTGAAAACAGTTTCTGCATCCTAGAGAACTGCCAAAGAGTTTTACAAAATGGTCTAACTAGAAAAAAAAAATTTGTATTTCATCGCTGGCGGACACAGATCCTATGTGTAACTACCTAACTTTATGCCTGTCAGTGTATACTGTGGTTTGACTGGCATCTTTCCTTTTGTGATGGATCAATCAAAGCTCAGTATCAAGACAAACAGAAAAGTAAACTTTACACTTTTTGCACTACTAGTCATTCAAAAAAAAATCTTTTTCTACTTGTGTTTAGTTAACTAAGTCTAATTACATAATGATCGAAGATAATAAAGAGAACAAAGACCATTCATCTGAAAGGGGCAGAACAGCCATCATTTTTTCCTTGAAGAATGAAGTTGGAGGACTTGTAAAAGCCCTAAAACTCTTTCAGGTATGTAAAAAATATAGAGTGGCTGTAGAAATGTGATTATTAAATCATAAGAGTAGTTTTGGAAGATGCTATAATTAATTACGTGCCTTTATTAAGGATATGATTCTTAAACATAACTCCCGCTTTGCACCCGTAACTACCTATGAAGGCAGATTTATGCCTTGGAAATTAGATGCTGGCTAAAATTCTTCAAAAGCATCTTAGCATCTGTCTGTACCTATTAAGGACTGGGAGAGTCTTGCCTGTGGCCTTAATGGAAGAGGATTGGCAGCCATTATTTCTATTGATTAAAGAAATGAATCCAAAACAGAGTCACATATCCAAATGCTTCAAACCTGAGCTTTTGCCAAAGTGCTGGGTGGTGTGAATCCAGCTGCCCCAAATGCCGGTGAGCTCAGTGGTGACTCTGGTGCCTCTGCCCTGTGTGTCCCTGTTAGTCCGCTTTCCCCTTGTAAGAACGTTCCTTATTGTGGCAACTGCCTGGTATACAAACTCTTTTTCCGTGTTTTCTGGTTAGCTCTTTTCTAGGCCTACTAATGTTAATGCTTTTCCATGAAGTACGTGGGGTTGCTGCCAAGTGCCTGGAAGGAAACGAATCCTTTCTTGGGGCTGGGTGCACAGGGAATAACGGTGGCTCATAGGCAGGCACAGCTTTCCCACCTTGAGCCCAGCTGTTTTGGCTAACCGTAGGGAAGACACAGATTTCGGTACAGGTTGCAAAGATACCGCTGGCGGCAGGTAGATACTTGGGTTGCTGGGCACCCTTGGTGCCCTTGTTACCCTGCCTAGCCAGACTGAGGGTAACAGAGGTACTTGCGCTGCAACTGCACGGCTGCCCTCCCTCGATTGCTGGTCAGAACGTGCTCAGGGAATATGAGTAGTGCTACTGTACTTTGTCATCTGGCCATGCGTGACCTATCCTGGGAGGTCCTGTATTTTCCTGATATAAGGCATGTAGATTAAAGAACTTTTCAAATAAAAGAAAAGAGAAGTTGATGCCTGGAAAACTACTGCTTTTAAATCTTTTGCTTGGCTGTGAGATAATTATATGGTGAGTTGATTGGCATCTTGGTGAATTTCCCTGCACCTAGTTGCTAATCAATTCCTATGGGAGGGAATGAAAGAAAAAGGTCTTTGAATTTAATCCTCCTTACTGACTGTGTCTTTCTGTTTCTTGAATGTAAACAAATTTGAAAGAACACAGCTCCTCTTTCATATTCTACTGAATGGTCAGCTTTCTAAAAGCCAAACCATTTTTTTTTTCTTTTCTGATAAGCAAAGTGCTATCAGGAGATGCAGTTAACTAAAAAAACTTCACAAAGATGGTGAATATTCTATGGCAGCAAAATATTTGTTTGGAAAACAGCTCAGATTGACTAAATCTGTTGGAAAACACTGCTTCTTACCAAACAGGAGAAGCATGTGAACCTGGTGCATATTGAATCACGGAAATCCAAGAGAAGAAACTCTGAGTTTGAGATCTTTGTGGACTGTGACAGTAACAGGGAACAACTGAATGAGATCTTCCAGCTCCTGAAATCCCACGTCAACGTTATCTCTATGAACCCAATGGAGCACTTCACCGTACAGGAAAACGGTAAGTATGAATGGCAGTTTTGCATAATCGTGCAAAGAGGAAAAAATATTGTGGCTCTGTGTTGATTTGAAATCTTTTTTTATGGTCTCCACATCTACATTTGTATGGTGTTTTCCATTGGTAGCTAGCAGGTTAGGTGCTTTTGTATTGTGAGTGAGTGTAGTTTAATTAACAGGAGTAGGGCTGTGCTGGCTGGCAATCCCCTTCATCTAGGAATACAGGCCGTTTCAAACGGGTGCAAATTACCCCTCCCTGCTCTGTGCTCCCATCCTGTCCTCCCAGCAGAGATCCTTTGTGATCTGTGCTGCTGCCACAGCAGTGTCCAGTGCAGACCAGCCTTGGAAAAGGATTCAGGGAAGAGTCTGAATGCAGGGCTTGGCCAGTGCCGGCAGACCATGATGAGAAACGCGTAATATTGGCAAATACCAGTTCAAGTTGGGCAGTAGAAAGAGAGGGAAACGAGTTCTGCAATTTCTTCATGTAGCTCTTGATTTATTTATTTACCATTTTTCATCATAGGAGGTTACTTACAGCAGTATGGAAGAGGCACCTTTTAACTTTAGGTTGTTTCACAGTCTGTTTACCTTTCCTCCTAGTTCAAGGGATGCTCAAAGTTCAGGACAGCAGCAGGTCAGTGCCATGGGATTTCTCAGCCACTTTGCTTGGCACAGAATGGTAGGCAGGGGCAGGTCAAATCTGGTTCTCCTAGATAAAAATTGCTTATTCTAGCTTTATGTAAGGGGAATTTCGATCTAAACTCTCCCTCTGTCCTTTTAAGAAAACTGAACAGCATCAGGGCAGAAAGCAATCCTTTGGTTGTCACCATGTGTTAACAGCTCTGCCAAGGCCTTGGTAAAACCTCTTTTGGGTTGAGGAGTGAGTGATAGAACTGTAGTGATGCATCTCCTTAAGGTGGCAGTGCTGAACTCGCCTCCTTTTTTTTTTTTTTTTTGGCCCCCAAATCCTGTAGCAAAGCCTGATGGCTTTTGTGGGGTACATAACCACAGAGCGCTTTTTCTTTCTCGGAGCCAGTAAAGCAGTATAGGAGATTGAAAGAGACTCCCACTCTGCCCAGGGAGCGCAGGCAAATCCCTTCTGCCTGTTGCCTTCTCTCTTTGAACGCTTTGCACCCTAGAAGATTTGCACAGCCGTGAGCACAAGGAGGTTTTGTCTTGGTGGGAGTGTCTGATGCTACTCTAACCCTAGTGATAGTAAGGGACACAGAAAATGCATATTAACTGCTTCCTCCTCTGGGCGTTTTGAAGCAGGCTGTGCTCTGTAGGCAGAAATGTGGCAGTGACAGAGGAGGAAGTCTGAGCTGTAGGCTGGTGCCAGATAGGCAGTGGACTCCCTTGTCTTATTCATGACCCCTTTAATTTATAGATTTCGCTTGTAACCGCCATAGCCATACTTGAAAGTAGCACTTCCTCCCTCAGCAAGCTTCACGCTATTAATAACTTTGTGGATTCCATGCGTTCCCTAGACATGGAGAATGTTCCCTGGTTTCCGAAGAAGATCTCAGATTTGGATAAGTGTGCAAACCGAGTGTTGATGTACGGGTCCGATTTGGATGCTGACCATCCAGTAAGTATCTTTCCCCTTATGCCCAATCATTAGCAAAAACGTACTTTGTGAAACTTGCTTAAAAAATGCAACTTTTCCTCCTCCCTCCCCACAAAGCCACCTCTGTGGTTCTATGTGCTTTCTCTTGGGGATTTCATCTCTCTTCCTAGTTCAGGCAAGGTCCTCACTGAACTCAGGTCTCTTGCCTTCATGCAAGTTTCACATTCGCATAAGGACTCTAGGACTGGGCCTTGAGTGGTCACATACAAAAAGAAAGCTGTTGTGAGACAGGCTTGGCTTCTCCTCTTTCTTTCTTCTCTACTATAAATGGAGCAAATGGACAGTGGACAGCTTGCTCTGTAGTTTAGAGTAATCAAGCAGGTAACTAAATTTGTGTGAATAGTGGTTGTAATAAAAAGATATGCTTGTCTTCTGAATATGTAGTTGCATGCATAAAACTACTGATGTTTGCTTTAACTTGGGGTTAGTTCAGTTAACAAACATTTCAAATTACAGCTATCAGGTTCCTGTCCTGTCTTTTTATTCTTACATAGCCCACTTTCACATTTCTCATTGAAGAAATTTCAAGTGTCTTGTTCTTATTTATTCATTACAGGCTGGAAATGCATAAAACTTTAAAAAAAATTTTTTTTTAATTTTTTTCTTCCCCTCAGGGTTTCAAAGACAATGTCTATCGCAAGAGGCGAAAGTATTTTGCAGACCTGGCTATAAACTACAAACAGTAAGCTTGACTTTTTCCAGAATAAGCCTTCCTTGTGCTCTGAAATAATAGGCAGGGTAGCCTGGCGGGAGCTGTCGTCCCCTGGGTTCAGGTATAGCTGAGACGTGCTTGATCGGGGAATCTGGAGGGGTATGTCTAAGGTAGCCAGCTGTTAAGCGAGATTAAAAGGTTAGTCTAAGCCATCTTGTGGCTCCCTGGACCTCTGATGGGTCTGAGGATCCGATCACAGCTGCTTAGTAGTTGCAGTACCCACAGCAGCCCTTGGCATTAGAGGGGCAGTGAGGACTTGGGCACTGTGGTCACTCCCCGCTGCTCTGGAAACGTGTGTGACAAGTGAGGTAGCACATACTGGTGTAACTCCACCAGAGCAGGTTGGTCCCTTTGCGATGGAAAGGGAGGAGAGGCGGGCCTCGGTATATAGCCCATTAACTGCTGAATATAAATTCTCTGGGCAAATGTCAAAGCTTGAGTTCTATTTCCTGGTTCAAAACAGTGCATGTGATGCCTAGATAAGAAGTTTTGTGTGAAATGAAACTCAACACTTTGTGTTCAGAAATGCTGCTGGGGGGGGGGGGGGGCAGCTCTTAAAACAGAGTTGCATAACCCAGTACTTTAATTTCATTTCGAACATGATTTTCATGCTGTTGTTGCCTGCTTGAGTTTAGATGACAAGTTGCTCCGCTATGAGTGACCTAGAAATGTTGGGTATCTAGAGCTCCTTTGTACTGTGCGTTAATGCAATTGACCATGACAGCACACTGCCAATTAACCTTGATGTGTTATTAACACAGTTTCCCCTGGGAAGTTAACATACTGGTTATTTGGGCAGCAGTGAAAGCATGATATAACACCTCCATTGCTTTCAGTGGGCTTTAGATAACACTCTTGCAATAATCTACTTTAATCAAGAGCTGAAGGGCTAATTAGGAAAGATGGACTAGAATTAGTATGGTCAGACAGCTGCTGGTCTCCTCTGCACAGAAGTGTGATTTTTACTGAACGTGTACATTCAGTTGCTTCCATTCATTGTGGTGTTAATTTAGGAAGTTATCTTTTCCTTAAAGGAATCAAAAAGGCAATGAATAGTTGTATAAAGACAGGGAAATCCTACAAGGAAAAGAATGTTTTCAGCTCCTGAAGCTGTAAAGGTTTTGCAAGTATTTTAAACTTTATTCTCAGTTTTAAACACCTAAGAAACTCTTTGCAGGACTGAAGCCTTCATGCTCCTGAGGTGGAAGATGAAGCAAACCCTTAGACTTCAAGCTCTGCAGGGCATAGACCATGTCCTGCTGTGTATTTGACAGTGCCTTGTGCAATGGGGTCTTCAACCTGACTGGGTGTTACAGCCATATAAATGTTAAACAATAATAGTAGGTGAATAAGCCATTCATAGTAAGCCATTTACCAAGGAATATCCTTTCTTCCTCTTCTCCTTGCAGTGGCGACCCAATTCCCAAGATTGAATTCACTGAGGAGGAGATCAAGACTTGGGGGACTGTATTTAGAGAGCTTAACAAGCTTTACCCTACTCATGCCTGCACAGAGTACCTAAAAAACTTACCCTTGCTCACCAAATACTGTGGGTACCGGGAAGACAATATCCCCCAGCTGGAAGATGTGTCCCGCTTCCTGAAAGGTAACGTACTAATTTCCTTACACCGAAAGAAATTAGGGTCTGTTGGAGAGCGCGCTGCCAGTAGGTAGGCACAAAGAAACATCCTTAGTCACTCTGCTTGTATTCACTCTCGTCCTTTAATAGGCCTTGTGGTTATCCCTGTTTTAAGGTATTGTGTCTCAGATATATACAGTGATGTTTGGGGGGCAATGCTAACTATAAAGATTGCTAGGACTGGCCAAAGAGGTATCTAGCTGTATTGTGCTGTTCGTAGGCCCAAAAGGGTAGAAAATCCACTTACACAGAGGCAAAGACAGTTTTACTAAATGTTGGCTAACTCTCAAGCTTAGGCTTAATTTTTCAAATCCTGCCCTCTTTTCCCATGTGCTCTTGAGCCCAAGTAACGCTGTGGCATTTACCCCAGTAGTAGCAGGAAGGATGAGAACGTTCTACAGTTCGACATTAAACTCATGTATGATTTCTCCGTTGCTTTTCAGAACGCACAGGCTTCACCATTCGGCCAGTTGCTGGATATCTGTCACCCAGAGACTTCCTGGCAGGCTTAGCGTTCAGAGTTTTTCACTGCACTCAATACGTTAGGCATAGTTCAGACCCTCTCTATACACCAGAGCCGTAAGTCATTTTACTTTGGGGGTAGAAGCTGACACAAACTCTTTTGAATCTTGCTGTGCAAAGCCAAGCTACTAAAGAGCTATTCGAGAACATCATAAAGACACCTTATTTTTAAAGATGCTGAACTACCTGCCCTTCCCACTGAATGTAGTGATGTTTTAGCATGCTCATATACCACCTTTATACGTGCAGGATTTTCAAAAGCGTAGCATGCTAATGGAAAGCTCTGCCTTCACTGAGATCAGAGTTAATTTAACATACAATTGCCTCTTAAATGTGGAGCTTGGATCTTAATTTTAGATATATAAAAGCAGATTTCCAAATTAAGATATTTTAATACAGCTGGTGTGACCTACTCAGTTGCTTTCAGCTAAACATGATTTATGCTTTTCTGTCTTTTGAATATTAAATAATTTCACACAGGGCATTTTTTTCTGTTCAGTGGTGTTGCTTTTTCACTCCATCAGGAAATAAATCATCAGATTTATTTTGTCTCTCTTTCCAGTGACACCTGTCACGAGCTCCTAGGCCACGTCCCTCTTCTGGCTGAACCCAGTTTTGCTCAGTTCTCCCAGGAAATTGGTCTCGCATCACTTGGGGCATCAGATGAGGCTGTCCAAAAACTGGCAACTGTGAGTATTTCAGTTCCTGATGATCCCACTGAGTTACAGCTTAGCACTTCTCTAGGCTGATACCACTCTTCTCAATTAATCTGGAGCTTCGTATCAATATTAGCCACAGCAGCTGCTAGTCCTGCCTATTTCACTGGTTCTCACCTCTACCAATATAGAGCACATAACAGAATTCCATGCTAGAAAAAAAACACATTTTCTTTAAGGACTATGCGATGGCTGGTGCTTTTCTTCACTTGGCTGTCAAGTAAGGGTGCAATCCCTGAGGGCAGATAACTTTCTCCAGAATGAAATTCTATGGTTTGTTTCTTCCAAACAGGAAGATTCTTCTTTTTAGTTCTGGGAATGTGGATCAGTGATTTTTAGAAGTAATTTATTTCTTTAATGTGTCAAATGAATTGAAGGGCTCAATAAGTGAAATTGAAATGACTTGAACGTCACAGAATGTGGCTAACATTAGCATTAGATGCTTTTTCAGTTCAAGCAATTCAAATAACATGTTAACTTTGTTTTCTGGATAACAGCTCCTGGATGCTTTGGCAAAAATATTTTTAAGAAGAAAATGAAATTCATGTGAAAAGTAATTGATTGCAATTATGTAAGAACTGGTTTGCTGTTTGTTGTCAGCTGGGGGAGGGGGTTTCCTCCCTTCCCCGTTGCAGCTAATGGTAAAATTTCTGCTAGAGCAGAATTAAGCTATCTGTGACAAAACCTTTCTTCCCCGTACACCTGCTCAAATCCAGCAAACTAAAAATCTTTATAAATTTTTAGCCCAGTAAGCAAAGAGGAACGAACTGAGGCTGGCTGATGTTTTCAGTCACTCATAGAGACTCTATCTATCCAATGTTTCTGTTAAGTTGAGGCTGTCCTATCATGACAGGATGTTTCACAGAACTAAGGCAGATTGACATCTCCATGCTCCTGCTGTGATTAACAGCTCCTGGCCTAGCCAGAATAGCTGGCTAGGCATAACAACATCAGACTTGCTTATTTAGAAACATCTAATCCTGTGGTTCTTTAGCCTCGCATTCTCCCTTCTCTTTTAATATATGATGATGATAGGCAAGTGATGACCCTCTGACATTGTCAACTGTTTGACACTACCTACAAATAGAAATGCCCCAGTCTAGTTTGCTGCAGCACCTTTGTCAAAGGCTGAATTATTTTACTTTCTTCTCTATTTCAGTGTTACTTCTTCACTGTGGAGTTTGGTTTGTGCAAGCAAGAGGGACAGCTAAGAGTTTACGGCGCTGGCTTGCTCTCTTCAATTAGTGAGCTCAAGGTAAGAATATCTACTGTTTATTTCCCTTTTTTCTTGGATCTCGCCTGATTATTATCACTGTTCTGCCCTGTTTTTTATGAAGTATAAGTCTGAAAATACCTATTTTGAGAACTCCTAGATAGTTACTGTAGGGATGACTTTGTTTACGTGAATTCCCTGTGGCACTAAACACTAGGCAGCCTGCTTTAGGATGTTTTCTGAGCAGCGCCCATGTCTTTCAGATGGAGTATTACATGAGTGGTATTTCTTAACATTAGATTCTGAATAACTCTGTTTTCAAAATGAAGCTCTAGTGGTTTAACCAGATTTTGAAAATATTGCTCTGGTTCACAGAATATCCTCACATCTGAGGAATCCCTTTTTGGACCCATGCTGGCAGAAGATGACCCTTTGCAGTGATCTAGTTCTTTAAGCTTTAACCACTCTTCAGTTGCAGATACAACTCTTAAGAGATGATACACTGACTCTGGTCTAATTTATTCTTTTTTTAATTTCACTCTTTACCTCCTGTTGTCATCTTCATGGGTTCTTTTTGGTGGTGATGTTCCTCGACACGTGATAATACTATGTTACCCAGCATGCCCTCTCTGGCAGTGCCAAAGTCAAGCCCTTTGATCCAAAGGTTACCTGCAAGCAAGAATGCCTCATTACAACTTTCCAGGAGGTTTACTTTGTTTCTGAAAGTTTTGAAGAAGCAAAAGAAAAGATGAGGTACTGTTTGTTTGTTCTCTGTTTCATAAAAGCAGGTTCAATTGCATGCATCCCTCATCAGCAGCACCAAACATGTTCATTCTTATTACAAAGTTTTATAATCACCTTATGTGGGGTTGGAAGGATGAATTTAATATTTGCTTCGTCTCCCATGTGCTGTGTGGGAGAGATGACAAATGATATTACTATTATTACTATCATTAAGAAAGTAAATGCTTTAGATAAGGCTATTGATACTGACTGCACGCCGAGGGTGCGTTTGGTTTTTGATTGTAACTCTCCTCCCCTTCCCCCCACCCCCTTTTCTTTTTCTTCCACCTGAACAGAGAGTTTGCAAAAACCATCAAGCGCCCATTTGGTGTCAAGTACAATCCGTATACACAAAGTGTGCAGATCCTGAAAGACACCAAGAGCATTGCCAGTGTGGTGAATGAGCTCCGTCATGAGCTGGACATTGTCAGCGATGCCCTCAGCAAGATGGGCAAGCAACTGGAAGTTTAACACCCCAAGTGACAGTGTGGTGCACTCGGCCAACTCTTTTCTTTTGCTCACTGATTGCGTTCTAGGCATGAAATGTGTTGTATACAGAACTCTCACCTTTACAAATAGACAAATGAATGGCTATAAGGATAATCACTTTATCTTGTTCCTCTCTTTAAAGTCCCTTACAAAATTTATTCCACTCCTGCCTTCATCCCTCATGGATAAAAAAGGCCTGGAGTTGCCCACTGAGAGAATATAGAATTTACTACTCTGGAGCAAAACTAGTGGTCTGTGTATCCCAGGCGGGATCAGATGCTTCAGAGGGTGGGTTATGAGGCAATAATGGAATAATTCACCCTTGGGAAATGTCTCTTCTGGATTCCAGTAGTCAGGAAAGCTTTACAGCATGGAAATTACAGTAATCAGTGCTTCTAAGTCTATGCTGCCAGGTTTAAAACTTGAATGATGACAACCCAAGCATCATTGCACAAATAGCTGGAAGCTCGTCATGATAATATTTTGGGAAGGTCAAATCTTGCTTTCAAAGGAATCATCCTTGCCCCTAAGGAATGGCAAATGCACTGATTGGCATGTTCCTATTAGAAGGCAGAAAAACAGAGTCGATTGTGGGAAATCGATTGTGTGAAATCCTAATTCTGTCTAACAGATTTGTTACCAGCCTAAAGAGGGACAGGACAGCTGCTGCTGTCCCTGGTATAGCACCTGAAGGGAGATAGCAAGGAAATACCGTTTGCCTTCTTCCTCACTGAATGAATTCAACCAAGAATATAGCAAGTGTTTAGGTACTGACTTAGTACAAAGCCTACAACCATCTCCAAATTACAATTCAATAGCCAAAACAGCTTCCCAGGACTAAGTGAAGCCCAGTTCTAAAATAATACCAAGTCTGAGGTGACGGCCAAAGTTCAGGGTCTGGTACGGCTTTCTGTAAGAGTAAACGTCACTTTGATTTGACCTGGCAAGCTGCACAAATATATTTAGTTTCTTTGGTAAGCCTGAACACCCTCATTGCTATCGAGCAAATGATAACTGAAAGGTCCACTATGGCTATATGTGCAACTATCTCGTAGTGCAGAATGTACCTAATTCTAAAGAGCACTTAACAGATGGTGGGAAGCAGTGACCTGCTGAATTGTCTCTATTGCAAAGTAGCAAACTACCCAGGTTAAGAGTTTCAGGCATCTTGCACAGATGTAGAAAGCTGTGCTGGGTGCTATTTCTGCCACCCATGTATATGAAATGAGTATATGGAAGGGGTATAATACAGCTGAATGGGAGGTCTCTGATAGCATGCTATTAAATATATCCTGTCTAGGAACTGTATCTTTGTATGTAGAGGTGATCAGAAAATCCATACATGGTTTGCAGCTCTGAAGGTCACTGGAAAAATGGGCTGAAATCTTAAACACACTAGGCACCCTGGGCCAAGACTTTGAGAAGTGGGAAGGATGTTGAAGAACGTGTTTGAAGCTCAGTTTGTGTTTCATATGCCTTTGGGTAGGCAATACCCGCTCCATGCGCAAGCGCGGGCCCGGTGTCTCCAAATGCGTTCACTGTTTAAATCGGATCTCTTTTCTATGACTTTGTCAACCCAGCATTGCTCTTTCTATGAATGTGCTTTTACATTTAGGGCATACAGAAATAGGCTACAATGGTTGGGGCTTACATCTCCCTTTTAAATCGATTTTAGGAGTTTCCTCTTTTTAAGGAAGGAACCTACTTCTTTTAAGCAAGTGATAAGGGAGGATCTATTTTGCCTGCTTCTGTGATGATAGTATTAAACTGCATTTTTAAAAAAGATGGGATTATGTTGTTGAAAAATGCATAGATATGTGTTACCGCACATCTTTGAATTATGTATCTGTTTTAAGTAGGAAACCTTATACCTGTGAAGTGAGCACCTAATTTCAAATACATTGGAAAAATAACACTTGTATCTTTATTTGCACTGGTGTAACAAAAAAAAAGAATGAAACTACTGAAACAGAAAAATGTCTATTTTGTGGTAGTAACAACATGTGTGTTTAGCTTCATGGCTTCCAAACCTCTGGCTATGTTGAAACAGTAATAATTGAAATATTTTTAAACGGTTGCGGAGGCTTTAAATGCCAATGAAATAAACACTGATGCCTTGTTGGTAATTGTTACAGAAGCACCCGAGCTTTTAATTCAGCACCGCAGCAATAAACACAAAGCGTTCACCTCTGCCTAACGGTTTATGCGTTTCGGGCTGCGCTCCAGGTACGCCGCGCCCGGCTGCGGTCCGACTGGGAAGTGTACGCAGGCCTTTGGGGAGCGGCGCTGTGTGTGTGTGTGTCTGTGTGCGCGCCTCGTTGTTGTTCGGCGCTGTTGAAACGGGAGGGTCGCGAGGAGGGGGCGGGCGGCAGGGCGGTACCACTGCCCCTTCACG